TTCTCCTGCCGTTCCCGTCTATCCTCATAGATTTTCCCACAAGAAATGTGTGAACTATATACTAAACCGCCGACTCGTCAGGAATAACCATGCTTCACTTGGATGCGCAACCACAATGGTTGCAACCTGGAATGAAAATCCCGGACGAGGTGCCGTGAGTCCATCTACTACTCTTGACTGTGCGACGGAGAAGTTAAACAGCCCCGATCAGCGCTGAGTATATCGCTGTGTATCCTGTTCCTCTGGAACTCTTTAGGTATTATCCACGAAACCGATTCGCCTGTCTGTAGAAGATACTCAGTTGAAAAAGAAAGTAAGCAAGAAGCCACCGGAATGATCAACCCAAGATCCCTTCATGACACTTCTATGCTACTATGCTTGAGCGGTAACAACCTATCTTAGCTAGAACTCTTGAAACCGCCAATATAGACGAATGCTGTCTTCAGAACATGTGTACTTCAAGTTCGTCAGATCCCACCTCATCCTCATGCTTCACTCGACATGTGTTACGCGATTCGGCATCTGATGTTCGTAGTGTCGCTAACGCCTGGATTGCGTTGTATCAAGGCTGAGCGCTCGTTTGTTTGCTAGGTTCCAGTCAGTAGCCTACTGCGTGCTCTACGTCTCGACGGTTCAGTGCGAAGCAACAGCTACAGAACGACGATTTCTACAATGATCATCCTTCACTGTTCCACTGCTCGCCCGACGCGCAACTTGATAGTTGCCAGCGCTTTCAACGCTCTAGTGGGATCCCTAGACGAATCAGTGAAGGCATCTATGCGGTTGGTATTCAATTGCAGCCAATCGGATAGGTATCAAAGATCGTCTTGACGAAAATCACGGATTTTTCCCATCAGGCACCGAATTCTCCCAAATGAAACGAAACCTTGCATGGAATCCCCCTAACTTTTCTCAGAATTAAACTCAATTGAATCACGTCCTCGTCAGTCACCGCTTGTCAGGATCCATTGAAGACTGCCGCTTCCCTGGTAAACATCCGTGGCTACGGACCATACCGTGCTTCGTGCCAGATTTCGCCTGAGCCTAGTAATAACCCATTCTTTTCCTAACCACTTCATTCAGTCATGGGACAGGAACCAAAACTGACGCACAAAAGTGCATGGTTAACAGTTGTAAAGGCTGAAACTGATACATAACTGGAACAAATCCGCCCGAAACCAGATGCCCTTAGTGCTACCAGCCTTCAAAGTGGAGCTCCTTCAGAGCTGGTTCAACATATTCATTCCATTGGCTGGGAGTGTATATAGCTCAACCTTTCGTACTGTGTGATTTTACGGCTACCAAACTTCTCCTCTCTGAGCAGATTAAAAAAACGACTGACTGTTTTCGACAGCCTAATTTGTTCCCTCTATCCAATGCATGCGCATCAGAAGGAGACATGTCGTGTTTCGTACACTTGCATCAGTCGCTAGCGTGGAACTGGTTGGTTTACATATATATATATATATATACACGCATGACTGGGTCATGACCATAATACGAGTGGGGTTGGCATTAGACTCTGACAAACACCAAGTCCATTTCTTTTGTGCTCAATGAGGTGGTTTATGTATTGTGATCAGCACTGCCTCTTGTAAATGACCCAAAGTATGATTTTCGCCTACTGTATTCGACCAAATGATGGGGTCAAGTCAACCTGGTGGTCATGGGCAAAGTGAGTTGGTAACCTGCTTCTCGTAACGTTAATCGATCATGTAACAAAGTATTGTCCGATTCAGTTCGTGTAGTGGCGCTAGTTTTTCAGTGTGGTGTGTTTGCGTATCGTCGATCCCATTTTGTTCTTTAATGCATTTGGCCCTACTAAAGAATGGCGATAGAAAACCACAGTGGCTATTTTTTCCCGACCATTGGTACATTGGTACTCACCGTTCCTAGCTTTTACTGCTCTCGTTTACTCTTTCCTCATTGGTCTACTTAATGGGGGTCTGGAAACCGATGCACAAACGTTCAAGGTTTGCAGGTGAACTCAGAATGGGTACATGCGATAAAATGGTGTAACAGCTGACAGAGCGCACTATTTCACGATTGCTTCAACTCATCAGCTCCACGGCAAAATTTCATGTTCGTAGCAGAAACCTGAGCGCTTAACCAAGCAATAAATTTGAAATTATCGTCTGTTGTTCATGTTGATCCAAAATTACCCTGCGGTCTGGCATGAGGGTATGGAAACCCTTACCTGGAGTCTGGGTCACATGGGTCGTGTTAGGCTCCCTGGCTGGAGACCTCTGGATGATCGTTACCGATGGTTAGCTACACTGAGTGATATGGCTGGGTGTCGCAA